AATGTTTCGATTTCAAGTGTATCTTAGTTTAGAGTCTGATTATTATTAGACAAGATATTCTATTCTCTCTTACTGTGTAAGTGATGTTTAGAGAAGAATGCGAGCATACGCACAAAAAGGATATTTCTTTCTTTTTACGGTCAGGGATATGCTTTGATAATCCATGGATGATTGTGCCTTCATGTAGTAAAGATAAATAGGTTTTATCTCTCCACGTGTAGGTATTACGCAATGATATAGAGAAAAAGGTGTGCAGACGAGAAAAAAAATATTCCTCTTCTTTCATGTCAGTGATACGCTATCACTGTTCATGAATGATTGCGTCTAGATGCAGTGAAGGCAAGCATACTTTGTCTGGTGTTGCTTCACTTGAAAATGATCAACCGATGCACAGCGACACTTGCTTGCAAGTTCTGTCACGGGAAATAAAATTTCTACAGTTAACTAAGATTCTCTCTTTTCGCTCCATTATTCAGGCCCATACCATATCAAGAGTTGAATTGTTTGAACTGAAAACTTGACGGTAAGCAGAATTCATTCGTATATGTGTCAATCAAAATGTTCAGCTTTATCGGTCTAAGCGTTCTTGAGAGGTTAAATCTAAAAAAGCACTTTGTTGATTTTTTTCAAAAAGCTTCCAGCGAAATTCCTACGAGATTGAAACATAAAACACAGTGTATGTATTTCATATGAACTTGAAGATGTTTGTCATTTTCATCATGATCCACCATAAATTCAACGGATCATCATCTTGAAGTGTTCAAGACTGTCTGCAATCAGACTAGTATACCACACCACAACAGAGAAAAATACCTTTTGTTGTCTTCAGAGCTTCAAATTGATCTCAACTCCGGATAATTTTTTGAAAATCCAGAACTCCTAGGTACCAAAACCAACAGTACCAGGTACCGAAAATTCAAACTCCGTGGTTCAATAAGCCAAGTTCTGAGGGACTCGATTAAATACAGTCTGTCATGATATGCATAGGATTCCTCTTATACGCATACATCTCTAGCATAGACCTTCGATTCCAATACATCAATTTCATGAAACACGATTGGTAAATATACATAGATGTCTGCGATGGTTTCTAGGATTTTCGAAGCGTCTATCAAGGTCGGCGATAATAAGAGTAACTTCTGAGATGCTGCTCTTTGATTTCTTCAAAGCCTGCAATAGGTAGATTCAGTTTCATTCATCATGAAAAAATAGTTCTATCTTGTTTCAAATTTGAGCTCCGAACTGATTATAATGAAGTCTGTAGTCTATTTAACGGTCTGAATCTATAATCATTCTAAAGACAGGATGATAATCGAGTTTTGGCAGTGTTTTGTGGAACTCGCTATGAAAATAGTGACTTTAAGGTTGGATCTGAGAATTTTCTGTTCCTCCTAACTATTACATATACCCTCTATTATTGACACAGATATCTCTTACTACCCAGCATAGCGCTTGAAGGCCAAAGATCTCTTGAGATCTTTGGTTTTCGTTAACATCATGTTTTTCTTACCTGTGACTAAGACACTCTACTGTTTCTTCTTGTGCTTCTGGTCGAAATTTTGTCAAATTGTATTGCTCTTGCGCTCATTTCTGCACAAAAACGAGAAATCACTTTTGTTCGACAAAAAAACCCGAAAGAAAACCTCGAAATCTTCAACCTAATTTGAGAAATTTTCACTTATTTCACTCTGTCTATTTTCATTTTCTAGAACTAACTACGAAATAGAGCATGAAAGATTCAATGAGAGATTTCGATTTCCATTCTCAATGATGGAAAGACGAAGTGAAATGACAAAACCGTCGTTTCAATTTAAAAAAGACTTCAAATGATTCGTTGCATGTTTTGACGCGAAACGGTAGGGGAATGAATGTGAACATCGCATTCAAACTAAACAATCATCAACTAGAAAAAACGAACTAAAACCAGAAATAGGAGAGAGTAGCATAGTAACAATAGGAGAAAAATGAAGAGCGCCTGGATGGTGAAAGAATTTAGAAAATATTCTAAATGTGCCGAAAGAGTAAGACGCATTCGTATCGACCTATTCTCATTTTTCAATGAGACTTCTTAATCTTCAAAAATCTCCATGCCATTCATGATGTTGATTGGATGTGTGTTTCACATTTCAGCTCTGTAAGGAGCTGCACTGAAAAGTTTTTATTTGTTGATCGTAAAAGTTCCTAAATTCGAAAAAGCAGCTAAGTGTCAGCACTTTCTAATAAAAGTCATGTGAAAGTAGCATAGGCGCTACCTAAAATGCGTATACAGGGTGTTCAGAAAGTCGCAAAATAGGAACAAACAAATCAAATATCTCCATTATATTTTGACTAAATGGATTGATATTTTCCCCATTGATAGACTTGTGTTCATAGATCGTATTCACAAGGAAAACGTTGTCAAACACCGTTGTGAAGTATCATAACTCATTTCAACAAGGAACTGTCACTTTTCATGACTTATGAAAAACCAATATTGTCGTTTTCTCAACAAACTCTTGCTGTTAACAGATGAAACATTTAGAGTACAATGAGTAACAAGATATATATCGGTGGCAGAAATACAAGATCGAACGACACTAGTAAGGATAATTAATCGAAAAACTTAGATGTCGCTTATTCTTAGCTAAGAAAATAAATGTATTGTTTATTACTGCAACACGTCAAGAGGTGCAATTCCTTGTTGAAATGAGCTGTGATACTTCAAAACAGTCTTTGACAACGTTTCTCTTATGAATATTATCTATGGACAGTCATCTATCAATGGTAAAATATCAGCTCATTTGCTCCAAATATGGCGGAGATATTCGATTTTTTTCTCGGTTCCTGACTTTCTCGATACTCTGTAGGTGTTCGCATGATTACAGCTAAGTTGGTGCTCACTTATCAAAATGTTCGTGCATGCATGTGTATGTGAGAAGCATTCATGTTTTATTTTTTGACTTTAGATACATTCTCACTTATTCTTTGTGAATCGGGGATTCTTGAGAGTTGTTAGAAGGTAGTAGTGCCTCCAGTAAGATTTTAAATAAATCTCTGCATTGTATTTTTAGATACCAGAGAATCATGTTTCGTTTCGTTCAACTTGTGCATAGACATGTTAGCTGTTGATTTGTCGCCATCGATCCTGTTTTGCATAAAAACTCCTTTATTGTCAGAAATAAACGTGTACGTCTCGCTTTAAACTACCACTCTCAATTTGTAGAAGCAGCTTTCGTATTCAATAAGAAATCTTACAACATCAAGAATTTTTTTCATTTCTATTTTGTTCGAGAGCACGAATACTCGAAAGGTTGACCCATGTATCGTAAGAAATTTCTCCTCTGCTACTACCGAAAACGCTGGTTTCAGCTTGACGCATGCGTCGCCGCCATCGAGTGTCTGAAAACTTCTTGCAACTGCCACCGAAAAATCCGTCGACGAACGTCTCATTTTATAAAGCGTTCCAAATGTTTTTATTGTGTTGGATTACTTTGTATTATCATCTCCCTAATAATCATGATTAATTCGCAACGTTCTGTTTCGTTCAATACACTGCCACTTTCGCCACCGCCAGATCTTTCTCAATATAATCAATTCTGTGAGCATGTTACGCGTCAAGTCTCGTTGGAGCATTCGTTAAGGGTTGCTCAACATCTAAAATCGAATAAGCAGATTCCCTATTCCTACAAGAGTTGGCAATCGAGCCCAGCTATGCCTCGCGTTCTAACTCAATGTGAACATGTAATCTATGTTCGTCTGTTATCAATTCTGGTCAAGAATGTCTTCCACAAATATAATATATCATATATGATGATGGCCGCAACTCTACTGGGTTTGTATCGCAGAAAGATTTCTTATTTATGAATACTATCTATATCTGTTACATTAATTAGCACAATTACGTGCAAAATTTGATAGAAAACTTATATAGCTTCGACAGATATACATGGAACAAATCGAATTGTTCGAAATCCAATTAATTCTTTTTGACTCTTCTCTTTTGTCAACAATGCTCTGAATCATATTAACACCTGATGTCTATTCCTTTTGAGAATAACGAGTGCTATACAAGTATCTCAGAACTCAATCGATTCTCTCGAAAACTGAGCTTTATAAGGATTACTATTGTTCGAGAGCAAATGTCATAAATACTTTGACCTTATCACAAGCAATATTCTTGATTCAGTGTATAATTCTTGTAAAATTCAGATTCTCAGGACGTTGTTTCGAATTTTCGCAATATTTTGTAGCACGTCAGAGCAACCAGTACTACCTGACGGAACGAAAAAATATGCCACAAAATGCAATCATTTTTACAGAAAATCATATATGAAAATCTCATGAAAAAAAAACCGACTTGTATGTCAATTAGTTTCTAGTACATCTGCTCAATAAATCTCACAACTATTCACCATAAAACAATCCAGTCTCGCATCGAATTGCATCATTAGGTAGAACATGAAAACTTAGGTTAAGTACTTTTCTCTCTCGGTCAATACGAGATCACAAATATTGGTCTAATAGGTGTTGTGCATCGGCGTCATACTTCTCACTTAAGTTTTTCGATGCAAACTCTTCGCCAAATCACTTGATTGTTTTCTCCGAGAAGGCTCAAGCTATATATATATATAGTTGGAAGAAGAAGAGAAAATATCGATGTTTTAGTTAGCTTCTTTTAGGAGTATTATGCAGTTGTTTGTGGATTTACCCAGGGTCTTTACTAAGCGAGTCGACGAAAATCTACCGAATGCATTTCGTCTATCCAGACGAGCGTGCCATGGATACCGTGTCATGGTCTTTTGTGTTCCCCAGGTCTCTATTCCATTCTACGCTCCACCAACCTCAATCTCTTATTCTGATGACGATTTTGTTCTTTTATTTCAGGCAGCTATACTCGTCATGATATTTTGCCATGGGATGACGACGTTGATTTGAGTGTTTCAATTTCGTCTCGTCGTCTGTTTCAGTTCATTGTCAAATACAGATTATCCTCGCCACGATATTCGATTGTTATCCGTCAAATGCACAATAAGCGCAATTATGATAAAGTATTTTTTAGTTGGTGTCCACCGGCTGGTAGATATCCATGGCGCTTTCCATTTATTGACATATTCTATCATGATGAAAATCACACACATGTTTGGCTTGTCGGAAAACCGAGCAGTTGTCCTGTTCGTCGTGAAGATGTCTTTCCACTAGTTCTTCGACCATTAGGACCGTTATGGTTGTTAGCACCTCGTGAACCAATGGCTCATTTCGAATCTCGATCAATGCGAGCTATCGAAACAGGCTGTCTTGCTTTTGTATATTCGCACAAATACGAACGGCGTATATACAATAAAACACGTTATGCCAGCTGCTCGAAACTCAGGTCTGTCTATCCGTATGTGGAACGGCAATGTGCATCTACCGAATGTATCGAATATCTCAAGTTGGGCGATTATCTCTTACATACAGTTAAATTCACTCCTGCCTATCGAACGTTTTTGTATAAAGAGTACGATCCATCATATCGTCCATGTTGACAGATTTTCTTCTGTACACATAATATATCGTCGACTTGTTGATGGTAGATGTGATACGCATTCGCCAAGAAAGAGACTTATTTTCAAAATCAACTCCAGCAGACATACTCGCCCTGAAAATTCAAAAAATGATGAATGGCATTTATAAAAAAATCCAACAATAGTTTGTTGTATGAAGATATGAAATCAAATGTGCTACCTTACAAGAATCTCTCCAGAATGGACTTTAATAATACCTAATGAATATTTCAAAATATTGTGCTATTGGTGAGAAAATTAAAATTTTCGATCCTAAGAGCAAAAGCTCCCAGTGTAATCCCTGCGGAATTAAAATGTGAAACACGATGGATTCGTTCCACTGGTCAAGCAACGTCCTAGCCGCCTGCTTCATTGTGATACTCGGAAGCTTTATCAATTGTCTGTCTGTCATGTGTGTGGGAGGGGAGGGGCCAAATGTCTCGCTACATAACTTAACAATTCATTACATACTGTCTGCAGCACACTGTTTTGATAAACAGCTCATAGTTCCATTTCGATATGCACATTAGGGTCCATTCGCATCGCATTATAAAAATTCATATGTGATGTAGGAGAGAATGGGTGTGGGTCCCACGTAAAAAAAGAGATTAAAATCAGATTAAAATCGATTAAAGCTACCAATAATTGGTTATAATTGACACAACAGTTGGTTAGTCAAGACACCAACTTAAACCTATTAAAGTCAATTTTTACCTGTTATAAGTCAATCGGAAATCAACTAACAATTGAATGAAACTAACTATAATGTTTTCAGATCAAAATTGAGCAGATATCATCGAGACATCAATTAATTCGAGTACAATTGATTTTCATTTAGCAAGATGAATCTTTTTTAATTTTCAAGAAAATGTTACCTCAAATACTCTAACAAAAAAGCAATGTTGCCGAACGTTTTTATGGACTGTGCTATCGAATAAAGCATAGAACCATCAAAATGGTTCAGGCTGATATAAACGATGTCACACTTCAATGGTATCTCATACAACCTTACTAAATACGCAGTAACAGGTTCTGCATCAGCGGAGGATTTCAATTTTAACATATTGTATTTTCTCACTTTCAATAATTATAGCTGGAAAACCAATACTCTAACCCGATTTTGCTACTATCTCAAAACTCCTTAAGTGCATCACAACTCCTGGACACCTCACAACTAACAGTCATGTTGATGTATGGATACTAGTATAATTTGTCGCATTTATCTTCATTAAATATTTTCATTTGTCTTATCACTCGAATTCAGGATTGAATAAAAGAAAGAAATGAAAAATTGTAAAAGACCTTCATAATTAACGTTTGTTCTAAGGATTATGACTTGAATTGGAGAAATGAATCAGTAGAAAAGGCCAATCGTGTGCGAATGTTAAGTGTGACAGAGCTAAAATGATCGAGGAATAATTGGATTTGTCAATTGGTTAATGAGTTTCAACTTAATCTAGATCAACAATAACACTGATCTAATATTCTTAATTATGCGACTAGGATATATAAAAATATACATTTACGAGTAGAAAGTCTATCTCTCGATCTCATCGTCTAATATACACAACTCTCAACACAAAATATTACAAAATCCAACAACTTATTTCTGAAAAAGGGAATCCAATGATCCTTGATGAAAGTTGTATCTACACTTTAGAGCGTACGACAACAATATAATTGATCTTTCGATGTGAAAACCGAGATTGTAAAGGTAAAGTCACTTTATTCATCAATTAATTAAGCACGCTGTCATACCAATGTATGGATGGATGCATTTCTCTCGCAACCAAGATCACAATACCATGCTCCGAATCCTGATCTTATTTCTGCTATTCAATTAAAGAATGACATCAAAGCTCGTGCTGCAACGAAAGACGAACAATCTAGTTCAACGGTTCATATCGCTTTGCAAACGTATTCTCTTGGTGCCACTGATAGACTTCCCAAAAATCAATGCCCTCATCCTCACGATTCAGCGACAACGTGCTGCTCAAGTAATCGATGCCGATGATCATTTACCAGAACAATTGAAAAAGACAGATCGCGGTGAAGACCTCATCTTGTACGAAGACGAAAAATTAATTATCTTCACAACGAAAAGGAATTTATCCATTCTGAATCAATACAAGCATTGGTTTACTGATAGAACATTCAAAGTGAACTATCAATTAAGTGTGCCTCTTTTCCTTCTCTAATTGTCTCACATTTAGGTGTACCCAGATTATTTTTACCAACTTTTCGCATTACACGCTATAATGACGAACACAATTATCTCTCTCGTATATGGATTATTAATCAGTAAAAGCAGCAACAATTATAATTAATTCTTTCAAAAAGTTTTCGATCTAGACGATTTTCAACCAGAATCAATCATGACCGACTTTGAAACTGGTACAATCAAGTCAGTCTAACAGATGCTATCCAACGTTTTACACAAAAGTAGCATTTTACTTACGAAAACATAATCAGAATTAAAAATTTTATTACAGAATGTCTTTTTTATTTTTTACAAAGGATATGGCGGCAAGTTCAAAGCAAAGGATGAGCATCAAAATATCGAGAGGATGAGTATTTTCATTTATATGTTAAAAAGTCGATTACTTTTGCCTTTGTTTCAGTGAGTGAAGTCGCAACGGTGTTTGATTTGAATGCCGGACAATTCGACGACGGCGCAGAAGATTTGGTTGATTATTTCGAAAAAACTTGGATTGTTGAACAAAAAAAAGAAGTACTATTTTTTTTCTTCATTATTATCGAATTTTATATTTTTCCGTATTTTTCAGGATCTAGTCGAAAAAAGCCTCAATTCGAACATAAACTATGGAACATTTCTGATCGTATCATCGCCAGTGTATCTCGACCCAACAACTTCGTGGAAGGGTGGCACAATGCATTCGCCAATTGGGTCTCAATAAACCATCCGAACATTATCAAATCAAAGTTTGAAATTGATATCGCCAAGATTCTTCAAGGCCATGAAGTCAAGACGAAGAAAATCTGTTATCGAAAACTCGACGAAAGAATAGCACGGCTAGTCAGCGCATACGACTCATCTCAAATGGAGCAATACTTGAAAAATATTGCTGCTAATATTATTCTGTAACTTAGTTGCTTCTCTGTATTTATTTTCTGTTAATGATTTTCTGCATTCTATATCTAATTTATAATGTTCCAGATATAATTGGATAATTGATATATTTTGGCTTCTTGAAACATAAAACATTTAATTAAGAGAAATTCGACGAGTTTTTCTGCGAGGAATTGATCGGTCACCAAAATGACCTTCTTTCTCCAGTATATCAGGACACTTACACAATATACAACTAGCGCTTTCGTTAAGATGTAGTTCCGCTTTCATAGTTTACCAAATCAAAGTATTACCTCTCTGCATCATTCACTTGTTGTGCAAGATCAGTAATGCTAGTAATGATCTTCTCTGGGTTTTCCAAACTTAATCGTACACCGCAAGCAAAACTTAGTGGAAATTGTACGACTAACTATTGTGCACTTGATGTTTTTGAACGCGAAGATGCCGTTGAAAAATGGTTTTACTAAAAACTAAGTGAAACTTTGTTACAGCGTCATAATTGATCTTAAGAGTTCCATCATTTTCACGGCTGAGGACTATCGGTCGCGAGAATTCCATTTGAACATCTACGTCAATGGTCACCATCCAATTGTTCCTGCACCCAATTGCAACAAATCTTTCATTAAGCTGTTCAACTCACCTTAAAACTTCGTTTACATTTTTTTATCTGAGAGAAATTCACACATACGCCAATTTTCATCAAGAACAAACAACAATATCTGCTCTTTGTTTCTCTGTTATTGTCCATTGATGCACCTCCTGAAAATCGAAATCATGTAACAACAAGATCAAGTATTTTTTCCCGTTTTTCAGCTCTAGCAATAACACGTGTTCGTCTAGAACGATTACTTGTTCTACTCAAGCGTTTACGACGACTGGAACTGGTCATTTCTGACAGAGCTGAACGTTATTTTATCGAGAGCTATCGATGGAAGATGTTTATTATTGAACATTTTCCATGACTGGTAACGTTTAATTTTTAGTTCTGTTTTTGGGAACATCGATCAATATCTATTCGATCAATTTCTTCGTGCATTTTGGCTCGATAAACATTGGTTTGTCGCATGAGATTCAAGTCATTCGTTTCTTTTCACTGTACTCCGCTTTGCTCCAACGTCGATTGCTCATTCATTTGCTCCGGTACCGTCGGATTGTACAACATTTTCCATCGATCAACATGGCGTCTTTTACGATCGTGTTACTGAGCTCTGCTTTAATTCATTTCGATTCTGTCTATTATCTCAGTCTAAATTGTATCTATGTTAATGTACGGAACCAACAATTTTCGAATATTGTACTAGCGCAAGTTCGAATATTCTTTTTGCCTCAATATGGAATGTTTCCAGGTAATGATTCATTCAGGTGACCTCGACTGTTTCTAAATATTGAACGATTGATTATTTCAATTCATCCAAACGTCAAATTCCATATTTAATTAATCACTGCAACGATATGTTCAGTGGTTTCTTTTACATCGGTCATCTATCTTGAATTGTGATCAAGAAACGAATTCAACTAACACGCGAATGCTTAACGCAACACAACTATCGTTTGAGCGAAAAAATAAGAATAATTTTATTTTGTCAAATCAATGATCAACTTCCGTTTTCATTGTGTTCATGGATCGGTGAGAACGATCAAGTAGGTGGAAACTTTCATTCGAATTGTCTTTATGAATATTACTCTATAAGCAATCAAATCAAGCAGCGCGAACGGTACATGATGGACCGTGGTGGCGTCAATATTTCCATGCAATTAAGAAAGTAGAAAGAACACTATCATTTGTAAATTCATTTTATTTTATTAGTTTGTTTGCTTGTCCCTTGATACTCATCAAAAATAAAACAAAGGACATTGTCACTGGGAGAACTAATGATGCCTTCTGCACTGA